TTTTGATTTCATAGTCTTAATAAGATTTGGTTTATAAATTTTCTATGTTTTTTAAGTAAATTTAGTTTACATCTATTGTATTCTATCTCTTAATTAAATTTTTATGTACAGTTTTTGGCTTATCTTTAATTAGTATTGTGACATTGGGTTTTTTGATATCTATTACTTCATAGGGTCCTTCATAGGGTGTATCTAATCTCATCCTGTTGTGTGTCTTTAATAAGATTTGTTCTCCTATGTTTATATCGATTGGATTCGTGTAATGTTCCTCTGATAGTTGTGTTCTTGCTACCTTCGCTTTTTCTAAAAATCTTTTAGCTTTTTCTAAAGAGTATTTTAATTTTGTTTTTAGCTTATTTATGTAGTTTTCTGGGTTGTATGTAGGATTTGAATTTAATATTTTCTCGTTGGGCATGTATGGCAATTTTCCATATATTAGTTCAAAAGGCGTATATTGTGTTTGTACGTGAGGGGTAGTGTTATATGCGAAAGTGTAGTATGGTATCCATTTATCCCAATCATTGTTTGTTGAAAAGGCTAAAAAGTATTCGTTAAGAACTCTGTGGTTGCTTTCAACTGTACCTAAATTTTCGTGGTGGTAGGGGGTTGAGAGCTTTTGTTCGATACTTAGTAACAGACAAATTTCTTTTATTAGTTCATTGTTGAACTCTGTTCCTCTGTTAGATTTGAATGTTTTAAATTGGCCGTATTTAAGTATTACCTTTTCTGTTAAAATTTTGGCGATTGATTTTGCGCTTTTATCTACAATAGGATGTGCGGTTATATATTTTGTTAATTCGCATTTGATTGTTAGTATGTATCGGAAATTATTGGAAGGTTTCATTGGTCCTACTGTGTCTATACTTAGTGTTTCAAAAGATATGGACGGTATATCTGTTATTGTGAGAGGTTCTTTTGTGTGTTTGGTTTGTTTGCTTGTTTGGCAAATGTGGCATTGTTTTATATAATTTTTTATCATCTTGAACATATTGCGCCAGATGTATTTTTGGCTTAGTTTTTGAAATGTGTTTTTCTTACTCCGAAATGTCCTGAGTGTGGGCAAGTGTGGTATTCTTCCATTAATTTGCACTTTTCTCCATCATCATATATTCTTTCTCTTTCTTTGTATAATAGTATATTTATGCGGTTTCTTTTAATATTGTTGAATTTTTCTTTTAATATCTCTTTGAATATCTATTTAAATATATCATCATGTAGACTTAATGCATAGTCTAAGAAATTTAACTTGTTTAGTTTTGATTCAATTTTTCCAAGAGCGCATCGAAATGGTCTGGATATTCATTGCACCTCACACGTGTGCAGTTTAATTCTTTAACATTTTCAATTATCATATCTTTTATCCCGCTTTCGAATTTGAATTCTAATATTCTTGTGTTCTTAATGTTATTTATTGACGTGCATTCCCACATATTTAGTTGTTCATGTGTGTGTTTTCTTTTGCCGATTTACTTCTGGTTATTACTAGCGTCTTTTTTATTCGTTCCTGATCTTCTTCTCTGGATATTGGAATCATCTCTTTTAATATATCAGAATTTATGTTTATCCTTGACAAGGCGTCAGCGTTAGTGTTGTTTGAACCTTTTTTATAAATTATGTTGAAATCGTAGTCCAATTATTCTATTCTTATACTGGTTAATTTTGAGGTGGGGTTTTTGTGAGAGAATAGTGCTACTAATGGTCTGTGATCAGTTATCAATGTAAATTTTTTGCCGAATAAGCAGGGCCTGAAATGTGTTATTCCAAAGTGGATTGCGAGTAGCTTTTTTTCTATGATTGGTTTGTTTTTTTCGTGTTTGTTTAGAAATTTTCTTGCGTATGCGATGGATAAGTCTTGACCTATTTCTCCTTGTGGTAGTACTGCTCCTAAGGCGTAATTTGATGCATCAGTTGTTAAAATGTAGGGTTTATCGGAATTTGGATATTGTAATATGGGTGGGGACATTAATTTGTTTTTGAGTTCTAGGAATGCCTGATTACATTGGTTTGTCCAGTCGAAGTCTTTTCCTTTTTTGAGGAGATCGTTTAGTGGTTGTGCTATGTCAGCGAAGTCTTTTATAAATTTCCTGTAATAGTTGCAAAATGCTACAAATCTTACGTCGTCTGTATTTTTGGGTTGGGGATAGCTTTTTATTGTTTCGTACTTAGCGGGATCTGGTTTTACGCCTTCGGGTGTTATTAGGTGTCCTAAATAGGTTACTTCTGGTTGTAGGAAGTTGCATTTGGATGGATTTAGTTTTAGGTTGTATTTGTTAAGTCGTTCTAGTACTTTCGTTAAATTTCTGTTGTGATGTTCGAAACTACATCCGTGTATTATTACGTCGTTTACGTATAAAAATGCTTCGGTGTCTAGTCCTGATAAAGCTATGGGTAACATTCTTTGAAACGACGAAATTTTTGAAAAGGCGGTTAAAGGTCGCGAGTTTTTGTTAAGTTTTATTTGATGAAATGAGTTTGTCATGTCCAAAGTGGAGAAATATTTTGCTCGTCCTAGTCTATCTAAGAAGTCTTCTAATCTTGTAAGGGGGAATTTCTCGTTTACTATTTTTTCGTTTAGTTTTCTGTAGTCAACTACTAGTCACCATTTCTTTATGTCTGTCTGATTTTTTTTGGGTACTAGTAAACGTGGTGAGTTATAGGGGCTAATTGAGGGTTCTATAATGTTTTGTTCAGTCTTCATGCTGTCGTTGGGGTGTACACAACCAACTTCAGCGTCTTACTCAATTGAAATAAAGAAAAGAGTCAAACATAACCTAGAAAGCAAAAAATTAAAAAAATCTTAGTAAAAAAGCATCAATATTTCATCATCACGTGAAATTTTGAATATCATCAATGGATTTCTATAAAGTTTCTGGATTATGGATCTAAATGTAAGTTAAAAGGTCCAATCCATATCAAATTCAAACAAAAAAAAAAAAAAAAAAAATATAATGTTTTGTTGTAATAATTCTTTTACCTGAGTATTTATGGTGTTAGTTTGTGTGTGGGGTAATATATAGTTTTTTATGTACACTGGTGTGTTGTCGTTTGTTTCTATGTTTTGTGTATAAAAATTATTTGCTGTGAGTGGTTCATTTTCTAGGTGGAATACTGTTTGAAATTTTTTGAAAATTTTTATGAGTTCTTGTTTTTGAGAGTTGTTGACTGTGTCTAATTTTATGGATTGTAATATACTTTGGAATCGTTGTTCATCATATTGAGTGTGTATATTGGTGTTTTGTATAATTTGGTAGGTATGGAGTGGTTGGGTGTTGCTATGTAGGTGTTGTATGGTGATTTCTTCATCTAGGGTATTTAGTATTTTAATGTGTTTTTGTCCGTTTTTTGGTATTATTGAATTGGCTAAAAATATTCCTTTTATTCTGCACACTTTATGTATTCTTCTTCTTTCTATTCTTCGTATTATCGTCTTCTTCATTTTAATATTCTTCATATATTCATTAATAATCTTTAATATTCTTTCTATTCCTCGTATATTCTTCTTATATTCTTCGATATATACTTTATCTTCATTTTAATATTCTTTCTTCATATATTTTTATATAATCTTCGTATCTTCTTCTTATATTTCTATGCATTCTTGGGAGCGTACCGCAGTAGTCTCGATATTCAATTGTCCTTTTAAACTCCTTTGCATGTTAAGTTTGTGTATTATTTAGAGGAATCATTAGTAAATGTCCTTTTAAACTCCTTTGCATGTTAAGTTTGTGCATTATTTAGAGGAATCATTAGTAAATGTTGTTGGGAGAGGATTTCCTATCTGTACACTGCATCTTGTGTAGCAGTGACTTTACCGTGATAAAATACAAGTTTTGAGGAAATGATCACACCGACTGGCTTTTAGTTGGGTGGGATCGTTATTATCTGTCTTAAATAGGTTCATGCTGATTGTAGAGTCTTTGGAATCCATCAATGTAACAGAAAAAGTTATGCTCCCTATTTCAAATATAATTGTTTGTTGGTGAGTTTTATTTTGGTTTTTGTTTGTTATTATTATTATTATTTTTTTTTTGTTTAGTAAGACCTCTTAACTTTTTGTTTGAAATATCTACACTTTATATATTTTAATATTCTACGTACCTATTTGATCTTCTTAATGTTAACATTTTTTGTATTGTAAGGAAGCGATTTTGCTTCCTTACGAAACACAAGTCCGTCCGCCCTAGACATGTATCTCCAGCAGGCAACCCGCCAGTCCGATCTGTCCGTGCACGCCCGAAGACAAGCAGCCCCCTCCAACTTCAAACACTGAATCACAAATGATACTGGCAAAGTTAAAATCATTAAAACGCACACCTATGCGTGAAAAATTAAAATCTCAGAAACTATTTGTGTAAAAGTAAGATCTCAAATCATTCCTGTAAAATCAAAATCTCAAACACACTAACTCAAGTTCATAAAACACACACCTATGCGTAAAAAAAAA